CCATTGAGCTCCTATTCTCACCGCTTGAATCGCCACAAAAGACCCTAAAATTCTTCCTTTTCATTCGCCTTTCAGTCATTATCAAAAGTTGGGAGCCCCCTTATAATAATTCCTGGCAAATGGAGTAGTAGACCTTTTTATTTGTGTATTGAAACTCTTACAATTGAGATAATAGTCACAAGAATGTGCCAAAGCTTGGGGATAATATTTAGAGTTAATGCATATTTCTATAATCGCAGCAGGTGGCCGATCTACACTCCCATCAAGATGAAATGATTAGAGGCGGAGCGGAGATTCTCCTCCAAAGGGGAAGTCCATAAAACAAATTCTCTTGAAAGCAAAAAAAAAATGGTTGACACATTTTTTTTTCTTTCACATCCCTGACAAGAGAAAAGTAGTTTTAGACAAAAAATTGAGCCTGCAGCACACAAACAATTTCCAATTTCATGTACATTTGTTTACAGTATCTATATTTTGTGTACTTTAGGTATGTCATATTAATCTTCTCCGGGGAAAGGTACCCTTGTGGTATCCCCCCCCCCCCCATGGATCCACCGTCAATGAATCAAAAGATTCGGTCAGCACTTCTTTGACTACATAATACCATGACTGTTCGTCGTTATAGTGATGTGTAACTCGTGTTCCCTTTATTTACACGTTCGTGATATAATTCCAAAACTAAGGCATGTTTTATTTTAGAAAATCTGGAATATTTGTAGAGATGTTTATATACTATTGCCAAAGAACGGCCAAGAATCGAGCGAATAGGAAGCACGTTTGGACTTTCTCAAGGTATTCCCCCTTGAGCCCTATAGCTCTATTTTCCCAATAATGATAGCGATCTATATTCTCAAACTGTTTATGTGGATTTTATAAAAGCATTTGACGGATATACGAATCACCCATAAATGACTATTTAAACAACAAAGTGGCACTATGGTTCTATTTTCATTTCATTTTTTACTTTCCTATATTCGATTGATATTTCCTTATAGCCTCAACATGAATAAGTACAGGTAAAGTACAGGTAAATAGTTATCACTTATCAGACTATTGCCTTGGACCAGCATTTTGCTACGTCATCTACCTGGAGTTATAATAATACTATCTATAGATCACTGATAGGGACCAACTAGTTTCAAAGTATTCAGCCCTTATCACAATGCATTTATAAAAACGAACGCTGTTATTACCATCGGCATTGTGCATGTTATGTGTTCCCATTGGTTTTATCTTCTTTTTTTTTTCTTTTATGTTAAGAACATCTGAAATCTGAAATAGAGAGGTCCTGGAGAGAGGTTTTCTAATCCCAATTTTGCTTTTGTTAAACTGTCCGTTGGTGATTTCACAATTATTTTCTTTAAATAAGTGGTACAAGATTTGAAATTATAAAACAAAGAGAATACTCACTTCACTATAAGGAATAGTAGCTACTGGGAGGGGAACAAATGAGTGACACGCAGACAGAGCAATGAACGTACGGCTATCTCCGATCATCTCCTTCTTTAGAAAGATCAACGGAGGATGAATGGCCAATTTAAGGATTAATTGCGATGTTTACGCTTTACTAATGGCGTTATAAAATCAAGTAAATTACCAGCGTGGTAAAGGCATTCTGCACAACAACCATGCATTGATGTGGATGTCTGATTTAATCTTGTCGTTCTGAGGTACAAAATAGAAGCCCTGGGGTGATGTGGGGTGGCTCATGCTCGTGACTGGAATCTATCACCCATAGCGAATGAGTGGTTTTAGGCATCATCAACGGGATACACCCTTCTCTATACACAATGACAAACTTTCTTTATCTTAAACAATGCCCCATCCAATTGGCGGATCAGATCGACGTAATTGATCTTCGCGGTTAACGCACAAATGTCGATTGTGCTGGTACGTGCTTCCTACCAATCAAATATGGTATCGACATTTTACCAAGGATAATTGGTTTTTAGACACAAGATTAGCAGGGATGAGTTTCCGTATCAATCAGATGATTTCTGCAGTCAATTGGGTTCGTATTTAACTGTCACTAATGAGATCATGGTTTCATACTTAACCGCTAAATACTGAGATACCGACACGATAAGAATAGCATCAGATATCTAATGTATACTAACGCAATTATTACATTAAACCGAACTGCGTTCCGAGGTCATTTATCAATAGGTAAATAAACATTTATCCATACAATAATCTTCAGGTCAAGTCACAGAAATAATATTCTATCATTAAAAAGGATGCGAATAATATTGGAAATGGAGTTTTCTCACGTGACAGCATTTCAGGAAGAAAAAACAATTATTAATTCCCTTATTAATTCCCTCTATGTGTTGCGAACATCATCCAGTCAGGATAACCATAGGAGTAGCCAGGGGCTCAAGACCCCAATGCCTCCACCCCACCCCGTTCATCCGCATCTTCCACGGAACAGCCCAAACCGCATCCTTACCCCTTTGGTGTCACCATCCGTCTGTGCCCCTCCCCTAACCTGTTTAAAAAAGTCTGGTAACGTCACTGCGACTTACTACATGTACAGTATTGTGTTTTGATCTTCATCAGGATCTAATGGGATAGTTGTGTCTTATTCACGGCTACCATTACCCTTAAGTGCAGCGGCGATGATATTATCTTCTGTTATGTTTTCAATATGTTTGCGTGCTGGTAAAAACAAAGTGGTATGAAACAGAATTACTTACATTTGAAGAAATCATTAGCGACGTAAGTTTCTGAGTTTGGTGGTAAACATGAATAGTGCATATTGTTGTGACGATTATTGTTTAGATGTTCAATCTAAACGAGACGTTTATACTTCCCAAGTTCAACGAGAAGTGTCAATCAATGGTTTGGCCCGGTTTATCAACACTCTTCTTCGTGTCTTCAAACTTTAAGACTTTAAAATTGCTTGAAGCGTGGTTTATTTGATAAACACATTTTCGCTTAAAAAACAGTAAAGATCTTTAAAGCAATCAACGCAAATCGTGAGTGTTCTTATCCTTATCCATGTTTTGATTTGAGGGCCGTTAAATGGCCATTTTGAGCCTTACTCAATCATGCTAAATATTATGAGAAGATTTATTTCGGCAAGGCCTTCACGGCTTGGTATGTTGTGCTTCCACCAAAGGACTGCATAAACGAACAAAAGCCCAAAGGCGACAACCTTCCATTTCCTTTCCTTTCAGCACTTTGCTGGAATCTCCTTCTCAAAAAGAGCGCACGTTTCTTTCTATATGTTTAGATTTTCTTCCGCTTCCTTCAAATTAACGCGCGAACATATTAAATTTGACTTCGATGGAGAACTTTTTTATCTAGACTTAGATTCCCGAGTAAAGTGGCTTTAAAAAACTCGCACGTGTATGAAGGAAATCTTGTAGAAGTTAAGAATTTTGTAAAGACTTGAATAAAGTAGAAGATTTATTTTACAAGCCACTACATGTTGTCGGGAAATGATGCGCTCTTTAAATTGTCTTGATGTAACGGTTGATTGAATTTGGTACTTCTTACATTATAGAATCATAATATATGGAATTAATTCGAAATGGGATAGATTACAAAGCCCTTATACTTAGACAATCATCATGACCATTTATGTTCGCCCATCACGATGAAGTAACAAAATCGTACATTGTCCTTCGCATAGTTGATACAGGATAAATGCGATATAATCATGTTAAAACTCGACTTTATTCAGGGGTAGTATTCGAGTTACCCCCTATCTATCACGAGTATTAAATTTTAATTCGTATCTTAATCTACAATGATACAGATACAAAGTGTTAATATGTCAGAGTGGACAGGAACAGCCATTGACCCCATATAAATCACTTATGAATGTTCAAGCCACAACAAATATTCATCCTTTCACAAAAGATATAGGTTAATGGTCGAAACACACGGTGGTAGCTTTTCTTTTATAAACTTATAGGCCTAAAAAAGCATCAGATAATTATATCCCCTCTTGTGGTTTTTTATATCTCAATATGAAATGTTGTGGTTGTACCACTGCCCTCACGGTATGATTAAGGCTTTCATCAAGAGAACCCACGGACCTGACGAAGGGTCATGACATTTATAAATATTAATGATTGCAAATGAGATCAATTTGAATATTTGATTATATTATTATTTCTTCAATTGACATGGATATTTTACGGAAAAAAAGTTATGACAGTAAATGGTAAAATTGCACAATTTTATAAATGTAGGCGATGTAATAATTTTGTATAGTCTTTGTCCAAACGTATTCATACCAGACAATAGCAACAGATGACCAAATCCCGGTTAACCGGAACGTTCTGCGCGACTCATTTTCTATTTCCATTATCTTTAAAATGGCCTCGAAAATATATCAAGTGCACTTCTGTGCTCAAACCAACTGTTATTTTTGCTTCGCCTGTCCTCTTTCAAAAATGAAAGGTCACGGCTAAGAATATTGTGATTTTTCCCCCCTGTCCTTTGTCTTTACTTTGGTCTACTGTTGTTTACCAGCCTTTCCACCAGCCCGATACGATGGACCTACAAATGATGTCATGTATATACAAAGTTTCCAGCGTTTTATGAAGAAAAAAAAATCTCCATTTTTTTTTTCTTCCCCCGATGGAGTTTCGCAATTCCAGGATCATTATCCTATCTTCTTTTTTCTAGTTTGAAGCTTCATCTGTGATCAATAGTTAGACACATCCAGTAGATTACGCTGTTAAAACTGGCTACTTGCTTGTGGGGCCGGTGAGATTTCCCTGCCTTCTCTGATTTGATGTTTTTCCTGATTTCTAGGATAGCTGGTAATCCTGAGGTATCAACACTTTCACTATCTGCTATTTAATGGTATAGGGTATATTTTGCTTGTGTTGCAGACAAGTAAATAAATAAACTATGAATAAATAAACAAATATATGATAAATACGTTGATAAACAAACATAGGAATAAAGTATAAATAAATGAATAAAATGATGATGTCACACGAGAATTCGGGTCTATTTTGAATTCTAGGCCCTGTACTTACTTCTCGGAGCAACGATCCACGTGGTCCACCCAATGTCTTCAAAATTGACTTCATACTCTTCCAGCTGGCATTTGGTTCTTCCGGGTCTTGATGATACCCGATTTTCAGCCCTCCTTTTCCTCCTCAGTGCCTTGTGCTCCCTACCCACGCCACTGTTATCAGTCCTTGAGTTTCCCTCTACCGCTGCAGCTACTTCTAACCGCCTCTCCAGCTCAATGCTGTTTTCTAACCGCGTCTCTAACCTGTTTGATGCGGTAACAGGTGTATGTGGTTCTAGTTTATTCCTGCTTGACCGGCGTGGTGCCACCACACCCTCTTGTCCAAGAGGCATCCCAATGTCCCGCCTCTGGATCATATTGTCATTTAGATACAACACCAAAAGGGGTTGCTTCTCCGGCCTGTTATCGGCGGGAAATTTAATAAATCGCACCATTCTTTTAATGCTTGCGCTTTGCGCTCTGATTTTGACTTCAAATGTTCTTGTCATGACGCTGGTATTGTCACTACTAATCCTTAAATTTTGTGCTTTGTTTAAGAACGCCGATGTGACGTTAAATTGTAACAATCCTGAATATGAAAGATGGATTATTCTCTGATCGACAAGGGTCTTCCGTCTTCTCACATCACCTTTCTTCTCTAATCTGTAAACATGGTAGACTTCAATTATAACCCGTTTTGCATCCGATTCCATAGGTTCCCATTCTGATAGTCTGGACTGACGTTTGTAAAGGACGATCTCAGCCGATACGATGGTTTCGCGATCCAATATCCCTCTGACTTCGAACTCGAACAACCTGCGACCTGATGATCGAGATCCTGTAAGACAAAACGGTAGAAATAATGGGATAAATTTTGCAAAGTAATATGATGGGTTTTTATATAATGTGTCAATTTTACGAAATTATAGCCAGAATATCTACAAAAGTATTATTACTGCTCTTCCTGCATAGGCCCTGCAATTAGAACCCTGGCATTGCCAGGTACCCACTTAAAGCACCTGGGTCAAGAGGGCCAAATGTGATCAAAACCACTTGTACTAGGATGTAAGCACCAAACAAAGATCGAACCTTGGGCTGCTCATCCGAGTGTCAAGAGTATTCCCTTTGTAGTTCTTGAATAGAATATGTAAGTTTTATGTGTTTCTAAAGAATGCATTTTTGTCCAATTTTTATATAATTAGGCCTAGATTAAACTAGAACTAATCATGCCTTACAAAAAGTACATCACGGTTCAAGTATTGAGAAATAGAGGTTCATGAAATGCCTGTATTCAGTCGTGAAATGCACGGACGTCATTTCACAGAACTAGAGCTGCCAATTTGGATGCACACAGAGATTTAAAACAACCACACTTGTGCCATTTCCTGGAAAAGATTGAAAATTTCATTGAATATGATCAAACACGTAGAAACAAAAACTTTCGAAAATGTAATTCCTATAGCCTTCACCTATTGAAAAGTACGAACATTGCAACGCCATATTACGTACAAAGAATGTGATTTCCATGGGACATTGAATAGTTTCTTGAAACACCCTTCGATTTTAGTCACGGTCACTTTCCTATATTCTACTTAAATTCAAGCCAACTTGGCTGCCATTTTGGATGCACACAGAGATTTAAAACAACCACACTTGTGCCATTTCCTGGAAAAGATTGAAAATCTCATTGAATATGATCAAACAAGTAGAAAGAAAAAACTTTCGAAAATGTAATTCCAATAGCCTTCACCTATTGAAAAGTACGAATACCCCGTAACTTCAGTTATATAAGACAAATCAGTTATCCGAAAAGAAAATTGAAGAAAAAAATTGTAAAAATATAATTAATTAACCAGTAACGCAATTTATTAGGAGTTCTGGACAGGGCTCCAAGATAAGTGGAACTTGATGCCCTTTCGGAAATCTACCCTTCTGCCATTTCTGGTTTTACTTCTGTCACACCCGACTCCAAATCTACTCATTCGAGGTTATATAATATATTTCTTCGGCCAGTTGTAGGTATCGTTGTTATGACTGGGGTGTTGCATAAGTCTCGAGGAAAATTTTGACCAAGTTTCTTTACCTCCTTTTTCCAAAACTAGTGATTTCTTTACCTGATATGAAAAGAAGACTTTCCGGACAGTTGATTTACTAAACCCAACACCACGCCTCGGTACCACTATGACACCCACTGCGTGTGACAGTAAGTATTACTTATCTTAAGATTCATCCTACCTGTACGAAAGCTTTAAAGGGAATAAGTTGTTATTGTTCCACTGTTGAAATAGAGCTTTCCAGTGTATAATGGGCACGACAAAAGCACCCACTTAATATGATTCTTTGCTACATTTAGACTTTAGTTCAATGTGGATGTACAGCGCAAGAAAGGCACAAAACAACTTGGTGCTGAAAACCTTTTAGCGGTCATGGTTCTTAAACAGTATCTGTGGAAGCAGTTCGTTGGCTTGAACTCCATTAAAGGGCTTAGCCGGGGATTACAAATATTCTGCCATCCATACGAAAGTCGGGATCCAACTTCCTAAATATTGTGTGTAGTCTCCTTCGCGACGAAAAGAGGAGGCCTGTCGAGAATAAAGCTTGATTAAAAAGGCAAATTTTTCGTTCTTATCTGCGTATCTTGTATGAATAAAAAACAAGGAAATACACCATGCTGATAAGAACATTTTTGCCATTGACGAGTACAGCTCCAAGATCCTTTATTTTTTTTAATACAACATTTATCATAATCAAAACGTATTGTCCTCGCAGTATGGTTGTCAATCACACTCAAGATCCTCATCAAAATTGGTCCTGCGATTCCATTCCCTATTTTCGATATAAATATGCCACTTTACAGATTACAGAAGTGACAGAAGCCTGCTAGAAACATGTGGTTCTATCTCTATAACACGTACGAGGTGGAAGTCAAAGTCTAAGGGGGGAATCAATCAGTCGAACGTACAGTAGATAATATGATCATAACAAGTTCATTTTGGCTGATTTATCCTAATATGTTTTAAACTATTTTCGGGGCAAATATAATGACATACGTGATACGTACATTATCCTTGATTATGACCATGTATACGTATTGTAAGCTTGTGTTTAATAGTAGGATTTAATGTGTTGTTTTCATGTAGTAGGTTGTTGATCTTTAGAAGTCCTTGAAGAGGGTTTACTTCGTGTTTGTGATTAGTCTGCAGCTCTGCATCGACGGAGACTTGCTTTCTCAAAACTTTAGAGTAGCAATAGAGTAGCTTTCGATAAACGCAACGGGATAATTAGCAGTGCGAATTGAGCTACTTAGCAAAGTGGTTTATTGTTTGGTACACAGCCTTGGTACAACTGTAACGGCTGGACCCACCACCATCTACATTCAAGCGGAATAAGTAGGGAAACCCGGTATTTACTCCAGCATTTACCCCCCTCGAGTGCATCCATACAGCTTTTTCAAACTTTTTTAATTCGAATTTTTTTCTATATGAAAGGTGAAAAAACCTTAACTGATGAAATCAAGATGAGATTTTTGAACGTCCATCATTATTTTTCTCTTTAAAGCGGAATTCCAAACGTGAACGCAAAACTCGGGAAAACGGCTTAATCCGGAGAAATAATTCACCGAATGAAACGTGCATATACCTTTTTGTACAAGACCAAGTCAGCTTATAGAGATGAAATTATGTTTCCTCTATGCAGCAAAGAATGTTGGAGCTTCCTCTATATAGTTCAAAGTGACCATCTTCCTTACTCTTATGTTAAATTATTTATTTTAAAGGAAGAAGGAACAGCCTATCAGTAAACCGTGAACGGGAAATCCACAATCATGTAACACTAATCAGTATGGACGCACTGCCCAAGACAAACAAAATTGAGGTTGTCTTTGCGGTACCGAATCGCCTTTCTTCTAGAGGATCAGAGGCACTCAAGCCCATTTAGAAAGTGACTGAGAAGGATGTGAGCTGATTATAGGGTTAATGACATCTTAATGATCGTTTTCTTCTAACCAGGTCTCTCTCGGGATATCTAGTCATAACAAATTTATAACGAACAACTTTGTCGGCGTGTTCGTAGAAAGAGTCAATTAACGTAACATTTCAATCATGTACACGAGGCGTTAGTTCGGTTACGTTATTATCTGCCTAGCTAATCAGCCTTGTGAAGGAATCTAACCCATACACCAGTTATTAACGTCATAATTAGCATTGTTTATTTTGCAGTCACTCTTACACGATATTACTCTCACAGAATGCGCCAAAGACCCCCCGCAATCACTGACGCAGTCTTACGTTAATTTAATGACGCATCGTACACAACGTGCTTAAATGAAGATGTGAGCTGATGACGTATTGGGTAACATATCCTGCACACTGATTTTGACACACATGCGCAATTTAATTACGCTGGCATTTTTTTTCGGGTATTACGTTATTGTAGGTAAAAGGTATTATGCCCGCTTACAATTGATCCTCGTCGTTTCATGAGAACTGGTATTTACACAACTTTGCTTTGGTTTATGTTATGTGTTAACGAGAACATAGTATGTTTTATTGTAGTTCTGAAATATACACTGATCTCATTCTTCGAGGGCCGCCCTTCAAAGAATCTTACAAGCTAGAGGTCCTTCTGGTTGTTTTAATACGTTCTGTCTTTTAGTTATTGCTATGCTCATTTATATTCTAATCTTGCCTCTCCTGAATAGAGAATAGTAACCTATTGAGAATATTTTTATTTATAGACTTTCCTTTTCCTTTTGCTGCTTAAATCTAAAGCAATTTTTTAGTCTATGAAGACTTTTCTATTAAGGACTACTTGATATGATTCATCATAAAATGCTGAGAATGCCAGTTGTAAATATCTGAATCAGGGCAATAACCTTATCGTATACGATGACATGTCCTTACAACTTAATATTTACTCCATTATACCATTATTGAATTAACAAAAAGAGAAATTCCACTATTTTAATATTAAATTGCTTATGATTTGAATAAAATAAGCTGAAGTATGACCTTAAAATCACAATTGTTGTGATTCAAAACTAAAATATGAATATGGATAGTTGATAAAGTGATCTTGAAACCTGTAGTGATTGGTAAGGTTTAGTGGTGTTGTGTGGTAAGCAGATCGTGCGAGCAATTAACCGTGAACTATGCCATTATCTCACATCAGATAAAACTAATTGATACAAAACGATTAATGGTCTATTCCTTTGAGCTCCTGGATCGTAATGTGTCAAGAACTATCACAAGTATCATCCACAACTCTAAGGTTGACCTCTAGAGTTCATAAACAACCTCTTTTAAATCGTTCCAACTAGCGCGATCAAATGAATCAATTATTATCCCAAAAAGCATATCAATTGGTGTAAGATTTTATCTGGGGTTGGCGCTGAATAGGTAGAGTCCTAATTTGATGTTATCGTATGTTCCTATTCTGTCGCGACAATTTCCAATCTTCGTATCTTGCTAATGGCTATCATTAGCGAAATTGACCCTAACAAGAGAAGTACTAAAAACTGAAGGTGGGATTTGCCCGGTTCACCATCCAATAAATAACGTGAACGAATTTTCACACTACTCCAGATGCTCTTGTGTTATTTAGTATGTTCTCCAATTCAAGACTTTATTGGAGATTTCAACCAAATCATACACGTATTCTCAAATGTTCATCCTATGGAAGTGGGAATCCACTTTGGGAAAGTCATTTTATGGACCACTTCTATTGGAATGGAAACAAAGCTATAAGAGAGGAATCAAATCTCCAAAAACTTATCCAGCTACTTATTTGGGGTTGAATTTCCACTCATTTGTATTTACATGTATGTAGGTCGTATCGACT